TTTAAAATCTCAATTATTTCTCATAGATAGCACTTAATTTCATGATACAATATGCAATATATAATAATGAATAAGTAGAGTTTAGGATGAGATTTCAAAGATATCTGAATTTGGGATCAGATTTACCAAATATTCCACCAAAATTCAATATGATCTCAATAAGAACTCTATTTCTCATCAAACCGCTATCCCTCAAAAAATTCTAGCTCTGTATTCTTACAGTATGACAACTATTGACTCGTGTGTGTGTATTTGTTAGGAATGAAAGATTGAAGTCAGTGAAAAACAAACTTGAACAGACTCCATTGTGGGATGGAAAATTTAAGTCGCATTTCAAAAGACGAAGAAATCAAACTTCATCAAATTCAATTTCCCTCAAGAAATACAGCGTCTTTCATTTAGGCATGGAGTGCCTTACTTTCGCTGGAGAAATCAATGAGCTATCGTTGTAATGTTTGCCATTTCATTCCAAATGGAAGGAGCTGTATTGCTGTTGTGCTTTCTCTTTTCCCTTTGTTCACCGTGAAATAAACCACTCTAGACCCCATCAAGGCTATTTGGGGCTGCAAACGATTTTCCCCATAAAATGCAATCTCAGTTGTGGCTCTGTCATGCTTTTGCTCTTCGAGTCTCTTCCTAAACCCACTGGCCATCTGCTAGAGTTGACTATCACTCAGCTAGCAGATTAATAACTTGATTGGCATTACTTTGAACATACAATTTCTGCAATGTAGGGTAGAGTTTTTAACATATGTTCTGATTTGTACCAAGACAGACCATCTCTTGTTGTTTTTAGTGTTAAAATGCCTTTTTTTGCATCCCAGTGTAATGTTGTGCAAAGAATGCAACTCTTATGGGTCATTTGGTTGCCTTTCAACCATTATAGAAGGTTCACTTTGGGTCTTAGAGCACTGAACCATTTGATACACAATTGAAAGCATTGCTTTTTATTTCAGGCCAAAAGGAGATGTATCACCCTTTCTTACAAAAGAGCAGTGCATGTCCATTTAAGAAGCTGCGAATATATATATATATATATATATATATATATATATATATATATATATATATATATAAATATATATATATACACACTAACATTT